AAATCATAGAATTGTAGAGAAAGGTCTTAGCTTTAATTCTATGATTTGTTTTTTGGGTCATACATTTCCATTTTTGGAGAGGATATAGGATCTACATAGCCAATAAAAAGTTCAGCGACTAAGTGACTTTCACCATATAAAAAAATTTTATATCGTGTTTGTGTTACACACCTTTAATGAAAAAAAGAAAAAACAAGACGAGAGAAGAAGAAATACCCAAAACTCAACTAGAAATGAGTTAGTATTATTTTTTATGACCTATTAAAAAAAGATGGTGCAGCTGCAATCCTTGTCGTCACTCTAGTTAAACTCATTCTAATTAATTATTATAATTATCAATTCATTTAGAAATCATGATTATGCCGCTATTGCTTCTACCTTGACAAATAAAAGAAGGAGAAATGACTCACCAGATCCCTCGCAATATTCCCAAGAACAAATAAAAAATTTGACCAATTTACCAGTTCTCATAGATATCATAAAAACTGCTGACATTGCAAATTTCGAAGTTCCATTAATGCTCTTTGACCTACTATTGCTGCTTAAGGAGATATATCAACCTGAAATTGTATTTTCATTGACATATATTATTTATTGTCAAGAATAAAAGTTTACTATATCGTAAACTAATTTGGTTTTTTTAAAAAAAATAGGGAAATCAAGAAATAGATAGGGAAGATACAGTGAACCCTCTATAAGTGTACCCCCCTCGGGAACATAGTGCTATTTCTTGTGAGCATGCATTTATGGAGGGTATACATAGTGCGTGCATTTAGGGAGGGTGCACTTAGGGAGGGTGCACTTAGGGAGGGTTCACTGTATTTTAGAAATGGGGAATAACGTACATGAAGAAGATGTAGTAAATGATAGAAGGAGTGGATGATGTGAACGTGGAACAGGAAGAGTAACAGTACAAAGAGGAGAGACTGAAAGCGAAAATGAAATTATTATTGTACAACCTACTAGAGAAATAATTGAAATGGAACCTGAAATGGAACCATTTGCCACTCTTCAAAATGATAATGAAAATGAACAAGAATATGGCGGTGAAATCGAACAAGAAGGTGGTTATGAAATCGAAGAAGGTAATTATGAACGTGAACAAGATGGTAATGAAATTGAACAAGATGGTGAAAGTTCTCAAGAAAGTGGCAAAAATCATCAAGAATATGATCAAATCGTTTGATTAGTGTTACATGTCACAATCCAAAAAAGGAAACCAAAGTGGTCGCAAAGGTGGTTGCAACCAGGTGTCGCAAATATGGTTGCAACCATCACCAAGAATTGCAACCAGCATCTATACGTTCGATCAGGTCAACAATGGACACACAATGAGATAACTATTTTGTTGGGACATGTTTTTAGTCAAAGAATAGATCAGCAAGAACTTTATGATCTAGGTTTAAGAAGATCAGCTTGTGCAATCTCATCAAAATGGCAATCAATGAAAAAGGTATTAAACAATTATGTAAATAATTCTTTAATACAAGTCTAAATATAAGAAATAATTCAATTAAAAAAATACATAATCTTTTTTCTTTCCTATTTGTTATGATTCGTGGATATTTTTCTCAATCCTGTAAATGAAAGGCAGCTAATTGAAATTCATTTAGTTTATATAAAAAATTTATCTATATTTATTGTTTTCTACAAAAAAAGTTTTTCATTGTTTTGTACTAACATTCTTTTATCAATTATAAATTTTCTTTCCTCTTGATAAATTTCATAGGTAATCCTTTCTTTGTCTAAATATGTTTGCAAAGATTTGGTACCTGCTAATTTAAAAATGTAAGGTGCAATTTTCTCACCTTGTTCCTTGTTCAAAATACTTCTAATGGTGCTATAATTCTTGGGTTCCATGGTATACCTAACATAAATTAATTTCATATTAACTATTTTTATATAGAGGTAATTCTATATATCACCTAAATATTGAGGATAACAAATGGAAGATTTTAATAATTACGTTACTAAATTTTGATCCCTGAAATTCTTGGTAACACCAATATCATTTAATGCATCACATAAACAATCAAAGATTGTAATTCTATCTTTTAATGTTAAATTTAAATGATTTTTTTCAAATAATCCCTTAAATTTCCTTCTGGTAAATGATTTAAAATCATTGCATAATTTCCATTAACTGGGAGTTTAGTTATACAAAAGAAAGGAACAATCATTTGTGATTTAATTTTACAATAATTCATTGCCTGTAATTAAATATAGAATAAATTAGTATTATATAATACAGTGTCATTTATTTTGGTTTTAAATGACCTCATCAAAAAAGCATTTTCCTGGATTACTTGAATCGTTTAAACTTTTTAATACTACATATTGCTCTCCCAAATAACCAAATTCTTTGTTATTCACATTATAATCAACTATTTGTCTTCTTGTCTGTGCAACAGTATAAATTGAACTAATCCACCTTCAGTTAAATTTGTTACTTTTTCAAACTGCTCAAAAGGTATCCATTCTAAAATATATCCTGGCAAAGATAATTTCATTTGAGATTGTTGAATAAAATTATCAAATATGTTGTTTCCAGATGTCCAAGTGGTGAAAAGACTCTGTAATTGTAAACGAATACAACTTTCACAGAATCTATCAGAGTATCTTGACAATTTGCATTTGTTACATTCTTTTAGTTTTCCCAATTTATCTATTGCTGTTCTTAATTCCAACTCATAAATAAACCTTTCATTACAAAGTTCTTTTTCATTTTCAGAAAGTTTCTTGTTTTCCTTGATTAATGAAAAAAAAATAATCTTTTTTACTTTCTCTATCAGAGTTAACAAAAGCACTATTATACATTTCATTATAAATTTTAAATACAGATTTCTCTCTTTCTGATGATAATAATGACATTATATAAAAAATTTACTTGATGTCCTAATGAATATAATGGGGGGTTTTTCAGAGTATAACATTATTTCCTTTTTCTTTTTTAACATATATAAAAGAAGAAAAGGTTGACGTGTTATGGTTCCTTCCTAGATTTTTTTCCTAATCTAACAATTTTACCCAAATTTGAAATGTTTAATTGCACAGGAAATATTCAAAGACTTGAAATGGAAAATTCAGTGCAGTTACAGTAATAGCGAATCATAAATCTTCTAAAAATTTTGTTGCTCAACTTTATTAAACTGAATTGTTGGGGAAGGTAAGATCAAAATCAAAGGGTAATGAGTCATTTTTTAATTTTTTAATTTTTTTTGCTACATTGGCTTGTATATATATTAATTGAAAAATACTTTCGTTTCCGAAAATGATAAATGGTTGCAATTACTTTTACATTGCTGCATCATGCGAATTCCCATTGCTATTTATTTGGCAACCGAAAAATTTATTTATTTTCGTTCAAAACTTCAGGGTTAAGCGAAGCAGATACTTGACCGAAAGGAAATCGTGTTTCACTTTAGATATTTTTTCACTGTCTACCTTTAGGTTTTCGTCTTGCCCTGACATTTTGGACTGTTCAAAATGACCAAAAACTTATGGCATTTCCTTGGAACCTTTACATCAGATCCCAGATCGCCAAAGACTTGTCACCAACATGTTGGTATATTTTCGAGACCGAGATTCAAAAAACGTTTTTTTACATTTTATTGTTATTATTATTATTATTATTATTATTATTATTATTATTATTATTGGTCAATTAATTGAATAAATAAAAAAAAATTTTCATTTACATTGTGTGACAAACTTACTTTTTAAAAAAATGTTTGAAATATATAGTTTGCCATTTGAACTTCTGACTGAAATATTCACATATATTGAAAATGATCACCAAGCATTGTATTCTTGTATTCTTGTCAACAAACAATGGCACAATATAAATATTCCAACTTTATGGAAGGATCCATTTGTTTGTGATGACAGCATCAAAATATTAATTAATTGCATATTAGAAGAAGATGAGGATTTCTTAATTAGAAATTGCATTGAATTAACTTTTGAACTATTGGAGAAGCCACCATTATACAATTATGCCAGATTTTGTACTATATTTGATTATTATTATGACCTTCTATACCTGATAAAAAATAAAGCATTAAATCTTGCACAAGTTTTACGAAATAAATTAGGAAATTTTATTTTAGATCATTCAGCAGGTATTAGAAGGCTTACTTTTGTTGATTATTTAGATTGTTATATAGATTTTAGTTTATTAATTAATCATCATAGATTTGATGATTGTTTTCAGAATCTTTATGAAATAGATTGTAATAGTAGTGATGGTGGTGAATTTTTTAATAAATTAGCAAATATTTGTAAAAATATTCAATCATTAGTATTACATTGTGAAAGTGATGACAAAAACATATATAATTTAGCACAGCTAATTAAAGCACAAGATCAAATTAAACATTTAATTATTAAATCAGAAATTTTATCAGATGAATTAAAAAAAGCAATATTAACACATTCACAATCAATAATTTTTTATGAATATTATGGCAATGAAAATAATTTTAATAATTTATTATTACCAACTCTCAAAAATTTAAAAACTTTAAAGTTAACAATTAATTTTAATAGCAAAATGATAAATTGGAAAAATATTTCATTGCCAAATATTGAATCTGTGAAATTATATTTTAATTCTCAACCATATATATCAAACTTTTCTGATTTTATTAATATCAATGGAAAAAATCTTAAAAATCTAAATGTTGGTGGTTGTACTAGTGGTTATACTGGTGGATTCTTGAGAGAGCTATTTCAATCAACTGCACGATATTGTAAAAATTTAGAAGATTTATCTATAGCATATAAGGATGAACTAGACCAGGAATTAATGGAAATACTTAATAATTGTATTAAATTAAAAAGTATTAGACTTGATAAATTTCCTGGAAATATATTATTAGATTGTGATAAAATATTGACAGCATTAAATGAAACATTACCAGGAAATTTAAAGTTAATAACTTTTACTTGTATTGTTTATAATATTAGTAACCATTCTTTGGACATTCTAATGAAGAATTGGAGAGGACCCAAACCTTTAACAATAGGATTTGTTAAATATAATAAATTTGAGATTTTGCAACAAAGTAATGGAAGAAAAATATTAGAAAAATATCAAGATTTAGGGTTTTTAATAATTAATAATATTTAAAATCATTTTATTATTATAGGAGTTATCAGTGGAGAAGATTTCAATCTTACATAATTTCATTATTATTTATGTATTTGTTATTCTTTATTATAACATAATATATTTTATTATTTCATGCTATATATACGTATGATATTATGACAAATTACATCTGATGATCATTTATGATTTGCTGATATTGATGGTAAAAAAGAGTTGGCCAACATTAGCATTAATTTAATATTAAAAATGATTAGTGGCAGGAAGTGGACTTTGTCAAATGTAAATTACAATCTTGATGGTTATTTTCTTATAAAAAGAGTTGGAGCTCCTTTGATTCTGAATATAATATCTAATCATAAAGCTCATTGTCAAATTCTTGTTGCATTTGAGGTGAGGACTCAAAATCTTTTTATATTGATCATGTGTAAATGTTTTATACAACCATGGCTCTTGATTACGTTGTATTTTAATCTTTGATCCTATATTAAATGCAACAAAACTTGTTTTCTTTGCGGAAAATTGAATAACGTGTAATAGTAACAAACCAATGATTTCCTCGTATTCATTTGAAAAATCGAAATTAAAGAACAACTCCAACATAAAGAAAATTCACCATTATTCAAACTTTAGTGATTGATTCATCTATATTCAACAACAAAAGGGTTTTGGCATTCTTTCTTTTTTCTTTTGTTTTCTATTTTGACACTTTTAAAATTTCAAGTTAAAACTTATAAAACCTGACTCATGTACTATGTAAAAGTTGATACATGTGCCAATGTTGACCTGTCTACATGTGCTTAAAGCTCGAGCACTCAAACACGTTTTATTTTATTGTTAATATTACTGTGTATTTACTATTACGCGTAGTTAAACATTTAACACAACTAACTCCTACATATTAATGTTGACATGCCAACATGTCTTTCAAACTCAGATACTAAAGACAATTCGAACACGATTTGATCTTTTTCATTTATGAAATGTAATAATAATTAAAGAAATGCCAGTAACAGTTATTATAATTGTATTGTAATAGTTTTAATTTGTGGAATGAAAAAATTTTTTGGTCCATATAAATTAATTATTGACACTATAAAAAAAAACCCCATAAATTGAACATTTTCGACGGCGCCGATATGCTTCACGATTTTATGTTGATTTCGTTGTTTTTAGTGTCTTACAAAACAAAGTGTTGTATATAGGAATGCTTAATACTAATATTTAATATTTAATATCAATAAACATTAATGTTTAATATTAGTCAAATTTAAGACATAATTTTGGAAAGCATGAGATCAAAAAAAAACAAAATGAATGTCATGATGTCACATTTACGTGTTTACACCTCTCTTCTATTTTTAAAAAAAAATGCCTTCGTTAAA